CTCCCGCGGCGGGGCGCGCAGCTCCGGGGCCCCGCCCGGTTCTCAGCCCGCGCGGAGCTCGCTGCCGGGCCTTTGCCTGTCGCTCGCGGGGGACCTGGGAGGCTGCTGGAGCCTCTGGCTCAGGTGCGCGCTCCAGCAGGTATCTCACGTATTGAGGTCTCTACACGCACCGCAAAACCAAAAAGATGGAGCTGTCTGGGCGGAGGCGGTGCGACCTCTCCGCTTGTCAAAAAAAGTGACAATCCACGAGGGAGAGTGTCCATGTGAACGCTCCCATTGCAGGGAAAGCTTCATTTGGGCACTGGGGTCGGTCAAGTCACAGCTAGACCCCAAGGCTGAGGTGTCAGGCAGCATTAGTTTGGTGCTTGCAAAGATGCGGTTTTGATATGCGAGTACATGGGGCTGCTATTAAACGTTTTCCAGGCGAGGTTTTAATTAGGCTAAGATTTGCATGTATATGGATTTCTATCAATAGCCCAAATTAATAAAGGCACATGTGCATCCCGTTCCTTTCTTGGCAATAGACCTCTTCAATATGGCCATGCAAAGATGTAATTCTTTAAAACATATGCTTGTAAACTTTCGCTGTATTCATGCAAATTTTTAAGGAACGCAGGTTCAATAGGAGACCGGGAAGAATGAATCTCTCAGAAGCCTTCACCTGTCAGAAGGTTCACAGGTACATCTAAAAGATGTTCTCAGGTACATCTTACTTTTTCATATGTGTGAAGAACAAGTTCCAAGATCAGTCTACTGTTACAATTTCTGCTTAATTGTGCCATGTGAACAGGCATATCTAATCAAGAATCTAAACTCTTACAAAAGTGGACCTGAGAACACTGAGTATTTTTTGCTTATATTTTTTCCTACGTTCCCTGTTCCTTTTTATTTTCTTCACCATAAAAACCTGAGGAATAGTGGTAGTGGGTATTATGGGCCTTAAGAAACTAATCAATTTTTCTGATTGTGAAGATACTTCCCAAGAAAATGTAATTTTGGCACCAAACTCTTATCTGCAGAATTGAGTACATGACTACCTTTTCCTTTAGCTCATGGCCCTGTCTACATCTGCTGCAGTACCACACTTAGGAAAATTGATTCCCACTTCAGTGCTTGAGCTGAGACAGAAGAATGGAGATGCAAGCAGAAAATCAATTTCCAAATCCAAAATGAGTGAAAGCTTCCTAAGCTCCTGACAAGTGCTTTTCTCTGATTCAGGATATGTCCCTTCTTAAAATATCGAAGCAGTTGTCCCTTCTAGAAATAGCAACCAGGCACAGACAACTCACTTCAGGCATGCTCTTCAAAAATAGTTAAACCCCCCATTTCCCTGGTGTTTCAGGGAATTTCCTCACACAATCTGATGCATGCAAGATAAAAATCTCATAGTTTATATTTACTATTTTCTATGAATTTATGCCAGGGTTTGTCTTTATAAACATCTTTGCTTGTACTTCACTTACAGAACAAGCCCAAACCTAGTTTTGAACATAATAAAATAGTAACATTATATACAGCCTATTTTATTTCAGTTAATAGAATTATATGTGAGATATTGACTCTCGTATCCTGCA